TACCGAATGAGCGTTTTGGTGTTCGCTTGACTGCTCAAGGGATCCAACCGATAAGGCATTGTTCACACTTTGCGACTTCAAAGAACCGCGAAGCCGCGAAAGTGTTACATACGAATCGATCGGGAAAGAGGAAAATGGCGCGTTGCTCCCGCGATCCACCAACTCCAGTGGGGCGGCAACTAACTGATACCTATCTTACTCTTTTCGCTGATGCTCCGGTGTTTCGCTCACAAGTCTCGCGTGCGCCGTGTCGCAGTCGATACGTGCATCATTCGTTTCGCAATTTAGCATATTCTTAGAGTCGCAGGCTGTTAACAACGCCTAATTGTCTGTTTACACGGTCACCGCCAAATTCCATGACGTATCGTGGTCACCTGATCTTCGAGACCTTAGCGAATGCGGCCGTGTCCCTGATCTTTGGTTGCTGACTGATAGTGGACTGAGGATGGATTCCTCCACTTGCTTACATAGGGAAATCCTAATGCAGTTCTAACAGCGCCCTAGTAGCCTATGTCCATCGTGGTCCAACGTCTGACCATGAGGGATGCGGTGAAGGGAAAATTGTTGAGGGAGGGAGAATCAGGAATATTCAGTACGCGACATTTTTCAAAGACGGTCCCGACAATCTTAAGGTCCTCTTTTTTGATGTTCTCGATAAAGCGAATTCCGCCGACGACTTTTATGCAGTCCTAAAAAACGTCCGTAATTCGATGGACTTCGCCAAAACCAGTCTCGACCTATTGTTGACTAGTGAAGCGCCAGGTTTCGAGTGTTCGTTCTCCTTTATCTTTTATGGTGAACTAATTGGAAGGAGAATTGTGTGATGAATTCGATCAAAACGACCCTCAGCGACAAAAGTGGGAAGTGGTGAAGCCTTTTTTCTTTGATATGGGCGCACAGCTGAAAATTTATCTGAGGGTTCCCGCTGCGCCCTGAGTCCAGCAACTGAACTTTTACACACGTGTTAGTTAGGAAATCTCCCAAAGACGTCGAATAGTAAAATGTGGTTGCGGTATAAAAAATAAAATAAAGGATAAAGCATTTGCCGTTGATCAATCCCTTTTTGGGATGCGGCACGCATTCTACTTCCATTTGTACATTCGTAGTGGCGTTTGAATGCGATGTGGCCTATACAATGACTTGCGGGGGCCAGCCGATGTACAAGTCAGTGTTTTTATCCTCCCAGACAAGTCTGGTACCAATTAACCGACCCCGGAGGGATGGAAGGCTTGGTTGGCCCGGGCGACTCACGACCCAGGATTTGATCCCGGACCGCTCGCGTGGTAAGCGCGCCACTTGTCACTACACCACTTCCGCCCTGGTTGGTGATAGGTGGTGAAATTTCTTACATAAAAAAAGGTCATCGGCAGTGTCTTCCAATGAACTACGCTGATAAAAGCCTTAAAAGCAAGAAAAAGAATAAACTGATGTGGTTGTTTCACTGACATATGAAAGTAGGGATGCGGAACTGCGCGTGTAAAAAAAAGGAAAGGAAGTCGTGCAAAACAGGAAATACGAGCCTTCTTGCTCTACGCTAATAATAACGATCATCAACGAGCGAAACCCAAAAGAAAGGAGGCCGCCTTACGCCAGGCAGAGAGATAGAACGTAGTCGTGAGAGCGGTAGGAAGTCCGAAAGCAACGGGAGAGTGGATCAGGGTCGCGACGCAGACAAGGCATCAAAAATTGGGGGGCCCTGATAGTTTTGATGGATCTGATCAAAGCCGTTAGCGTTAGCACCCAGTCTTTAGTGATACGTTTTGTTGTGCAATGGTTGCGCTCGCAATAATTGCGTAACGCAAGAAATTCTATCCACTGACTAACTCAGTGAGGACCCTCCCCTTCAATTAGGCTTTGAGTGTGAAATCACCATGCCGAATTACAGCGCCTGTTCTGATTCGGTTTCAAGAGCTTTCAAAAGCATATTTTAAAATTTGATTGAGAACTTAGCCCTTAGTATTTTGAAGCCACAAGAAAATAGCACGTGCTTTAGTTTGTTCAAAAGATTGTCGAAATAATCTGTTAGGCTGTTTCTGTTCCCATTGAACATTTCAGTATGAATAGCTTGGATTCACCTAAAATGTCTTCGGATCTGCCGCCACTATGGCAAGACTAGATCTTGAGGGGTGGTGTAAGGGTGAGTAAGTGCGCCTCGCCTCACGTCTGTACAAAGACCTACTGCTGACCTGAGAATGCAGCAGATTTTTTCCTCGTCAGTTAAGCTATTCATATATGCAGGAGGAATTGTCGCCGGCCTAGAAGGAAACAGGCCACACGCGGCGTCGGCTACCGTTTCGTAAAAACGCTAAGGTCGTAATTATATGAAGGCAAGGCAAACAAGCCGTGGTGTCGTCGACTTTACTTGAAGCGAATTGTTTCAATCCGAGAGTCTTGATTAGGGCGAAACGACCTGCTCTAGGAGAGGGAGGGGCAGTGGTTCCGTCTAAAAATAACAACATAGGCGTATGAGGTGCCTGATTCCAGTAAATTTCTATAAGGGTGCAGTGGGTGAGATGGTTGGGCGCGACTCAGTTGCGCGATTATGAAGTCGAAGAGACGCAGGGCGTGCGTCTCCGTTTGATAAATAAAAACCCGTTTCTGAGCATGACAACAACCCTCAGACTCCCTCGCGTGCAGAAGGGTGTTCCCTACAACCGAGCAAGGTCACCGTGAACAATCGCACGGCACTGTTTTCAGCAAATTGTTGGGCGCGACTCTCCTTTCCTTGTAGGGTTTGGTCTCGATGCGAACCGCAGGCCCAGCCACCACCATTGTACTAAGGAGGCTCCGCCAATACGAAACAAATCTTCTGTGCCCTAAACGGCGAATCCAGCGGCGGGGGTAGTGTAAATGTACGCCCAAGATTTAGAGTGACTATGAAAATATTTGAGAAAAGAAGCCCCAGACCCACTGGTGCATTTTTTAGCAGCGAAAAGGCATATTTTCAGTAATCAAGACTAGTATATCTCACTAGAGTGGGGTTTACTCACTCGCTTATCAAAAGATGTGCCTTGTTCAGTCTAGTTACTACTAAGTACGGTAGAGAAGGGATATTATAAACATTCTCAGTTTCTGGGCACAACTACACACTCACCGGTGCGTCGATGACGATTCCATTTCGTCGGTTGAAAATTCGCTGGTATTTCGCGATAATGATCATCAGCAGTGAAATCTAGAAAGGAGCGGCATACATTGTACTTGTTTTTGAATCTTATCGTATTCAACTCACATGGAAGAACTGCAATCCGAGGAAGAAGATGCCGGTGGCTATACGTGCCAAATTGCCCTGAAACAGCTATCGGTAACAGGAGCGGGAGGGGGAGGGGCGGAGGGCTTACATGATAGGTATGAATTGGTGTAATAATTGGCTTTTTGCCATGGTCCCATGGCTAATCTTGCTTAACCTCAAGCGGGCCTCCTTTCCAAAATCACAAATACGAACCCCTGCTCGAATAGCGCGAACGGGCGGTAGCCCCCGGCTGGAACTCAAAGTAACCATCGAATGTCTCTTCATAACCGATTCCCCGCCTCAATTACCCTTCGTTTATGAGGCGTAAGTGGCCGCTGAGCTAGTGGTTGACGGGGAAGAGCCCAAGGTTTTGAGGGGGTTTGATTAATTTACCATCCAACCCAAAGCAAATGTGCACCGGCCGGTGTCGTCAATCAACTTCCACCACAACTTTGCACGACAAATGACTCAGGCTCAGTTGGAGAACCACGGCCTACTGATGTTCACCATACAACCTTAATCTCACTTAACCACCCCCAAGGCTCTGACCTCATAAAAGCCGTAGTTCTGGGGAAGGCCATCGATAGCTGGCCCTGAGCCCGTTGGCGTCATCGTGTGGTGAGCGGCGCGCTAGTAGTTAAACTGTACGCCCAACAAATTTAGAGTTGATTATGATTGGGCCTAGGTTCAGCCCTAAGCTTGCTTCGCTACTGGGTGGTGTCTCCATTTCAGGTGACCTGAGGAGGAGAACTGCAATGCACTCCTTGCCACTCAGTCACCTCCGCTTTCGAAGGGGATAAGGTTCAAACCAACAAAAAATATTTCGAAATTCGCGTACGGAACCTGAAAGCATGTGAGAGCAATTTCGAGAGGGCTAAGAAATAGAAAATGCTAGCTGGTTTAAATCTTTGCGAAAGTACTGTAGACGGCACTTCTAATAGCCAAATATTTCAGACACTCCGCTTGTTCACACCGCAAAAAATTTCGTGGAAAACGATCGTGATCCTGATTGTGTGGCCGTTCGTGGCTAACATGCTCTTGAAGATGTTCAGAAATCTCATCGGTGTTTAACTATACAAATGCATTTGAAATGAATCCATAAATTCGATACAACTATGATGTGTTCTATGTTGAGCGGATACCTGTATAAGGCGATGGTTAACATAATAAGTAATGGCAGTAAGGAGGAAAAGGCAAGAACAGCTGTTGTGATGGATGAAAACGAACGACTCAAAGAAAAAACTGTACAAGACTCGAATCAGCGAATCAATAACGATATGCGTGATTATCGTGTGGTGGTCCCTGAGTGTGACCATAATCCCTGTAGTCGACCCTTTGATCCGGGTAGTAGGGTTCCCGGCGTGTATCGGGTGAATAGGCATAGGTAGATGACGAGCCGCCTGGGTATCCTCGAGAGTCATACTGAAAACAGGCTGTATAACCACACATAGAAAACTGGGAATGAGTTTCGGATAGGTGTTTTAGAGGTGAAATCGATCAATATAGTGGGATGCAATAGGCATAGTTGACCAGAAACTTTCTCGCTTTACTATTTTGGAAAACAATTCTGCCTGGGGAGTAGAGATATGTGCCATCCTCGTCTAACATTTAACTACGTTCGCACAGCTTGTCGATCCCTCGGCTCAAAAGGCGGGAGCTGGACCAAGGTCAATCGTCGCGTTCGCGCTTGCCCAAAATTCTGCGCCCCCCCCATCCCCTAGTGGGATCCCGATGCGATCCCTCACCACCACCATCGGTGTTATGGTTAGAGGCTCCCCCACAATAAGGAATTCCCTCCTCCTACCCCGATCGCCACCCTTCCCATCATGGCTGTTTCTATAGTATTTAATTCTAAGATCCAGTCGATGTACTCGAAACTCGAACTCTGCCCCTGTTATTCCTAGACACTTTGTCTTGTATCATTAACCGACCCTGAGGGCGTTTTGAAGGGTAACGAGTTGAGCTTGGGACGTGGTTGTATCCGCTGATTTGATCTCTGGACTCTAAGGCGGCAAAAACGGCGCTACTTGTCAATAGGAGTCGTTCAGTTCTCCTCCTGTGGTCACGTCACGAGAGCTACGCGATCATTGAAGCTTAACGTCACGCTCAGGTTTAAACTTAGGGTTAGACTTCTGCTTACAAATTGGCTGATGCTTGAACCTCCCCGTTGATTTCCGCATTGATGCGACTCTCATCGTGCCCTCTTCAACGCTAACGCTCTCTCTGCTATGTCGGTGGGCGTACCGCGCCAACTGCGCCAAGAGTGAGCCATGCTAGATCGCCGAGGTCAAATCTTTCGCTGCCAATTGCGCGTCGGTCCGCACCCTCAGGAGGTCCGCCTGTCTCCCAACTAGGCAATTTTCCCCTTCTTTGACTTCTTTTTATCGTGGAATCTTTCTTTAATCACACTTCGCTAATTTCAAACCGAATGCTCCCAACTGGAAATTGAGGAGCACAGTCACCCTTATCAAGAAAATAGATCTTTACAGTGGCCTTCTTCCCTGGTGACATCAGGAAACTCCCATGCCATGGAAACGTAGTGCATGCCACGAGCTCAACGGGGTCCTCGACAAAGCGTGTACCACTACTACGTCTTCGAAGTGCTGGTTGGTAGGGGGTTGCATAGTTAGAGCTCCTGTCTCTGAATAACTATCCACCAGTGAACCGATTCAAGAAACTATGTAGCAGCTTCAGGCTGGAGCAATTCACCGTAGGTATCCAGGTATCCTTAAGCTCGACGGCGGTGGTAGATGAAGAAGATGAGGGCCGTGAAGGAGGGACTGTTTCTGCTTATGGAGGAACATTTAAGGGGTATTTTGCTGTAATACTTACATCAACGGTGGCAATCTGTGCTACGAAAACATCGCTGGTGTGGTGTACAATCTGAGCGAACTGTCTTTTTGGCCTTTCTCTCCCTGTATTATATGTGCGCCTCCTCCCAGTCGCCGAAGTTTTTGGTCAGATTTGAAGGATGAGCTGAGGGGGGGGGTAGGGATGCAGGTGATGTTGGCTCTCTGTCTATTCTTACATCCTCTTATATAGTTCGTAGCGATTCTCGCTGGAGCTGGACGGTGTAGAATAAGGGTGGCGCAGACAACGTTAAAAATTCATTTCTGGGATACGCCAAGCATCCAACTTCTAATCAGAATTGAGTGGCATTGAGAATGCGACATGTCCAGCACAACAAGCCTTGTTGGGCTGCCCGACGCCCATATTAGCGGCTTTAT